TTTTATTTGTTACATTTCTATATATATATATATATATATTTTTTTTTTTTTTTTTAGTAGAAGCATTTACCGTCAGCGGGTGGGTCGAACGCTAATTCGAAACCAGCTTCTGCCATTTTTTTGGCGAGTTTTGAAGAAAGACTTGTCTGAGGGAAGAAACAAACATACAGCAGTCAGTCAACCGACAGAGTTTTGAAAACTCTGATTCACTAAAGAGCGAAGCTGATAAAATTACACAATTTACTCACCATTCTTGATGCCATTACATGGAGTGGAAAGAATTCCAGATAACCCCACACATTAATTATGCGTTAATTTCATAAGGACTAAATATAAAGGTTTGTTTGCAACACTCTATGTATAATTAATGTATGGGGTTATATCACGGAGTTGCTCTGGAAGTACTGTTGTCTTTTCTCTTGAATGATTTTCCACAGGGATATTAATGAATGACAGGAGTCAATGGATACCATTCAATACTCATTCGAATCGGTCAGTGTAAAACGTAGACTGCTGCCTGCATACTGCCGACCTGGGGTAAAATGCAGACTGAGTGTAAAAGGCAGACTGCAGACTGGGAGTAAAACGCAGGCTGGGTGCAAAGTGAAGAATGAGGACTGCAGACTGGGGGTAAAATGCAGAATGAAATCTTAAGATGGCACTGAGGGAAAATGAGAGAAACGACAAGCAGAAAACATGTGGAAGTCTAGAACTGAGAGTCTGCATTACCTACGTTACCTGCGTTACTTTTGTCCAGCAGAACGGGTTACAAGATTATGATAATGACAAGGGGAAGGGACATTCGGCATATACCAACATGGAAAACGACGATTTGCAGATATATATTTGAATTAAAATTCAAGTGCCTTCATACTATTGATTTATTGTGTACAGTGTACACCCCGGAGTGTACATTAGTCGCTTTTGTTGTTCACTGAGATGCACGTAATCGTTGGTTTCTTTAATACATAATAATATACATGAAAAACTTTCTCAGTTCTGATTGGTTAAGATGAATGCAGTTTTCAGTTAATTCAGTGCAGAAGAGAGTTAATTCAGTGCAGAAGAGGGTTAATTTAGTGCAAAGAAAGAAACAAACCAGACATTCTGATTGGTTAGAATGATTGGTCAAGGTCAATGTCAAGGTAAATGTCACTTGCAGGGTTTGAATAAATTATTTTTGCACATGATGTGCGCACTTTTCTTCTGTGTAGTTATGAGAAGCTACCTCATATTTTTTCATGTATATTATTAATAGATAATCACAGGATTTTCTAGATCTCGTGCAATTTGGAATAAATAAGCACTTGTAAATTCAAGACCACAAATTGCACTCACACGATGTGGTTAGTCTTTGAAAAAATTTACTCGTGCTTATTTATTCCAAATTGCACTCAAAATCATGTGATTACCTATACAAACATCGTTTTGTACCAATCCACAGTCACATTTATGGAAAACTTTGCGTCCTAAAGTTGAAGCGTTGGCTCTCGGACGGTAAAAAGGTTCAAAATTGTGATTATTTTTTCGGGTCATCGACAACGTTCCAGAAGAGAATGGAATAGATTTGTGAAAGCAGATGTCAAGTAAGTGATTGTATACATGTATTTGTGGGATTTTTTTTCCCTTAAGTAAACCCTTCAGGTACTACAGTTTATGGTCCATCTGCATTTTACCCTGCTGCAGTCCCTCATTCTGCATTTTGCACCTAGCCTACGTTTTACTCTCAGTCTACAGTCTACCTTTTACACTCAGTCTCCATTTTACCCCTGGTCTGCAGTCCGCAGTCCACAGTCTTTTTTTACACTGACCGCCATTCGAGTAGCAGTTGGGCGGTGGAGCTGTACGTTTTTCTCAGAAAATTATTATACTTAAGTCTTGAACCTTAATTAATTTTTGTAGCATTGTTTTTATTTTTTGCGGATCCTGAGCGATTTGAATAGGTAAATTTTTCTCTAAATAACAAAAATATGAAACAAAGAAAAAAGTTCATCCAACTCAGGACAGCCATTATTAGTATATACTAAAACAGTGGATAGTGTTGAAGGTGTGCTCTGATTGGCTAGTCAAACTCCAAATATTCTTTGCTATTTACCTCCAAGCAACTTGGGGAAAAAATGGCGTCACAGTTTGCATCCATGACAAGCAAAGAAATCACTCAAATTCACCACGAAGCAGCCCTTAAAACACAAAGAAAGTGGCTTAATTCAGTTTGGCTGTGTTTAAAGGCAATGGTTTAAGTTTTTAACCCAGGGTTTTATCAATAAAAAGCAATGAGAAAGGTTTTGTTTACAAATGCAAATTAATCTTGCATTTGAAGAAATGTTGCCACCAGAGCAAAACAAATGTCTTCAGAAATTTTATCTGTCTGAGAGGAAACGAGATGGCAGTTTTTACAACAAAAAATCACTTACCGCAATCCGAGCCACATTAGATCATCACGCATGGAAAAATGTTGGAATTGTTGCTGGAATGTACGAGTTAAGATCAATTTTTGGTGGTGTATGTTATCTCACTGTTTTAGTATATACTAAAACAACTATTCACCTCAGTGTCGGTGGTTAGTGGTGGATAGTTGTTAACTGTGACAGGACTTGGCACGTTGCACAGATGTTTAGAGCATTTTTCATATTTGACGCACCAGCAATAGTTCTGGCAACCGAAGCGAGATTAGGATTTTTTCTGGGAATATTTCTGTCTGCCTGCTTGATCGTTTGAGGATTGCAAGGTTTGCAATGTTGCTCAAGTCATTCATCGATATAATTGGTTAGAGCAAGTTCAAATTAATTGTGACATAGAGATATGTCTGAGGTGACTAGTGCACAAATCAATTGCAAAGGGGAATTGGGTTGTTTTGCAACTTTTCGGGGGACTAGACAAGCTCATTTCAGGATGATTAGGGGGAGTCTTTGGAAAAAGGTCTCGGTCTCTTTCGGTATTTATTTTTTTTAAAGCCATGTTTGATTTTGATGTTTGTACTTTTATACAGTATATTTAATTAGTATTGTTGGAGCACTTTGTACTGCCCTCAATCCGGAGTGGCAAGGGCAGGTAGTATTTAAATGCTTGAACTCCCAGAGGTGATTAACATGTAACTTCTTCCTCTGATATCTATATACTTGAACAAGCAAACAGATGATGAGGAATAGTCACACTTGTAAAGTAGAAGTTGTTAAGCAGCTTTTAAGGGGAGAATAATTAACAAGCAGGTCATGGGAGTTAAAAGGCAAAGGGAAATCACAGAAAGCATATTTGAGTCATTCCAAAACAAAAATTCAACTTTTTTATTTCACTGTATACGAAAAGATTTACATTTGTTGATGTTTTGTTTTTCACAAACAAGATGAAATAAATTTCCAGGCATTGAGATTAGGTTTCAGTCAAATACAACAAGAATTGTACAATGTTTCTGTTGCTGGAATTCTAGGAAGTTAGAGGTAGTGACATTACTGTGTATCACACAGACCTCTTGAACTTTTCCAATGAAGAATGAAACAAAATAACTGGCAAAATTAGTCAGATTTTGTAGCTTCTAGACATTATCGTTCTTACTTGAGTTGATAATTGCTGTCACTTAATTGAAG